GATGAAGGAAGGAAGAGAAAAGCAGAGCGGGTGAAATATTATATGAAAAACAGATACGAGGAGGCATTAGGAAATTGAGATAAGGTGGGGGGGTGACAGAAAGAGAGATGAGGGAATGGAGAAAGACTGTAAAGTTAGAAGGAGCAGGCCAAATGAGAAGGTTATAGGAAAAAACAGACATGAGGATGAATTGGGAAATGGATAAGAGGCAGGAACGTGAAGAGAAGGCGATGGGTTCGGCTGCGTCAACTGAGTTTGAGATGGTGCAATAGCGCCTGACAGCCTAGCTCATGGTTATCGAGTGAAAGCTGCTGCATCTCAAAGACATTCTTGGGAAGGGAAACAGCTGGAGGAGGCTCTTTTCAAAGAGAGCTCTCAGTTTCAGGAGCAGGATTTGTGAGACGCAGTAAAGCAGAGCTACCATTTGTCCTGTCACTCAAGGCCACGGATGTGCATTATCCTGCACAAAATAAAAACCTCATACAGATACAATTTGGACAGCAGACAGAGCCGCGCTGTCGATGGAAAATTCCAGCACTGATAACCTCAGGGGCCCAATACCTCACTAATCTGGTGCCCAGTGATTTATTCTGTTGAATCATGTCTTCTCCTGCCAGTCTGACATTCTTCGATGATGAGTTCTTGCTCTCTGGGGCAACACTTTAAATCTGATTATTGGTTGTAGCTCTGGGATACAACCCAGATTCCAGCTTTTTTTGTTGTTGTTGCCGCTTTTATTGATCTATAACACAAGCTGGAGAAAAGAATACAACGCACTTATTATTCCAGCGTGCGTGCAGGCTCAGCGCGCCATACTCAGCGAGCCCGCACGCAAAAGGTGAGAAACTTAAGGAAACCAACGAAAGGGAGGAAACTTTTCCAACTGAGTGCATGAAAGAGAGCAGAAAGAGCAGGAACGTGACTGCGAGGCTTAAACCGAGCGGTTCCAGTCAGAATGCAATCTTAAGCATGTGTGTGAATGATCTATTAGAGCGTCTGGGTTGCTTTTGGCTCGTAATAACACCCCCCTAATCTTTGTCCAAATATCTGCTTTGCACACACAGGACTATTTGTCTGCACACACACACAGCTTTCTTACCAGAGTCTGGAGTTGATCAATGATCTAACAACACTCATACCGCACTCTCAATGTGCATTTGTGTGTGTGTGTGTTTGTGTAAGAGAGCGAGAATGAGAGTACGCCCTGGGTAACTTCATTATCCAATCAAGAACTTTTACTTTAAGCAGATCAACTCAACTAGTTTAAAGGCTTTGGATAATCTCTATAAAGCTGTTAAGACACTGGCTGTTTTTAATATGCATGTATGTGTATAAACTGAACACAGACGTGCAGATATGGTTTTGCAAACGTAGCCTAAAAGCGGGCTTCTGTAATGGAAAAAGCTGAACAACCATCTCTTGTTCAACAGACTTTTTCTCTTTCTTTCATTGCATCTAATTTATCTTCATTCCTTCTTCAATAATCTGCTTGATCACAGCCAAATTAGCATCTCCAACACTGTCAAAACTTTCTAGTTCCCCCCTTTTCTTTTTTTTTTTTTCGCCCACCTCCCTCCTCACATTCCTCTCTCCCTCTCACTCTGTGGTCCTGGCTGACAGGATCAAGAGAACAGAGGTATGCAGCCCCAGGGGAGGTGCCTAGACCCCGGCCACCTGCCAGTCCAGGTGTCCCTCTTTGGTTATCTGATGTCTGACTGGACACAGAAACCCTCCTGAGGGAACGAGGCTCAAGTCCAAGCTTCCAATCTGTCAGTGCGGGAGGACTAATGCACCGTATGTCAACAGGCCAATAATGTCTGGCAGTGGAAAATGAGGCAGCCTTATTTGGCGATGAGTGTGTTCCTCGCTCGTTTATGAAAAGTACATTAACCCAGAAAAACTTCTGCTGAAATTATCAAGTAAACTAGTCACACTTCTCTCTCTCTCAAGTCTTTAGTAACTCTTTTTCTAATGCACTAATCTCAAAACCACCACGGAGGTGACAAGTAATACATTCCAGTGCAAGGAGATGATCTTGATGGGAGGGTAGCTAACACACACACACACACACACACACACACACACACACACACACACACACACACACGCCTACAGATTCTCTCTGCAGGCTGTTATGACTGCATGAGCGTACCTGCTGTCAGAGATGAAAGCGTGCCCCCAGGATGGAGCTTTTTCTTCTTCACCTTTGTCAATTAACACGGATGTTACACCCACTACAACAACAATGGGTGCTTTTCAGAACCACAGTGAGAAACTTTTGGCTCCCAAAACCCGAGCGCACAGCGGTCCTTATGGATCTGCTGGCTATTCGCAATCTTGAAATGCATCTTTAAAATCCATTTACGTCTGCAGACTTTGATTTAAACCCAGATGTGAAAACACTCCCGGCTGCATGAGGGGTTAGTTAAAGCCTGTCCTCTTTGCCTTCATATCTTACATCATACCTCAACATGGCAAAGTCAATTTGGAAGCAAAGCTAAGATACGAGTGAGAAACTCTATTTCTGTTGGCGGCAGACCCAAATCCACACAGTAACTTTTCCTCACAGACTATAACACATACGAAAGCTCAGCTCCTATAGGATGGATGAAAACTATCCAGCAACAGGCAAAATAGGGGAAAACTGTCTGTCTGGCAGGTAACCAAGATCAATGAAATTTAATTTCACTGAAGAAAAAGAAGGTTCTGCCGGTAACAGCCACATGAAACTGTAACCGAAAGACAATAAAGCAAGCTTCCTGTCCATATAGTCTTCATTCGCAGTCCTAAAAATGTAAAAAATAAAAAAAGAAGAAGAGCAGCTTCTTAGTAGGATTGTTTTGTTTTTTTTTAACATTAATTACAGTGTAATACACATATTATAGAGGCTTGAAACATGCCTGTGGTGCAGCATAATACATTGAGTCTGCTTTACTGTGTGAAAGCATGTTAGTCTTCATTTACGAACCATCTAGAAACGAGAAATGGCACCGCCTTGAGAAACATAACCAAAAACTTTTGAAAATGTAGTTTGGTATCAGAAGACTTATTTCTAAGAACTTATTTCGTATTTCTGTGAGAAATATCTGAAATGTTTGCTCTAAAATGTGTTTTCCCATCTTTAACACGTGGTTCGTGTTCACAAGTCAATAATGGTATGATGGTATTTAAACTTTTATGGGGAAATAAACTGTTTGAAAATGATAGTTTCTGCCCACAGTAGCAGCAGCTCCAATATTTTTGCTTAGTATTGCACAAGATTGATTAGCAACTCCCATAATTGTCCCCCCCCCATTCCCCACATCAGCAATCAAAGGGGCCAAAGCCCTGTGAGAAACAGGCAGATAATCAGACAGGAATCATTTAGTTCAGCTTTGATCCACCCGCCTGCCAGAGATGATCAACAAAAACAACAAACCCTGCTACCAAACAAGAGGCTCCTTTTTTACTGAGACCAATTAATTCGCCCAGAAGCTGTGCGCCTAATTGGAGGAGGCCAGGCCATTCGTTTCGACTTTTAATCCAAGTGACATTGATTCAGCGGGAACAATCGGGCTCTCTTGTCTGATGCCATGTCTGTCACTGAATCGCGAAGCCGTCCTCCATGCAAGGCAGTGGAGGCTAAATGTAGACTAATCCAAATAACAAAACGACACCTGGGGTTGGAAACTCGAGCCCCTGCGGCTGTTTCTGCAGGCCTCCATCCGCCTCCTCTCCACCCCTTACCTCCTTTCCCTCCACCCTGGGAGCCTTCACGGTGATGCAGCCTTTGGCCAGCGCTCAAAACTCGGGTGGGGGGATCAAGACGAACATTTGGTCATTAAATCAGACCTGGATGAGGGGATGGCATCAGGGGAGACTCTCCTGACAGCGAGGCAGGATGCAGGGTTTCTCACCAACAGAGATGCCAGTTTACTGGAGGCTTTAATGAGGTTAGTCTGACACCAGGACTTTGGTTTGGGGGTGAGAGGGAGTGAGTGGGACTCCACTCAGGTAGCAGTGTTTGGGTTTGTTGATGACAGCAGAAACATACAATCTGGTCGGGGCTTTTTTTGAGCACTTGGAGGAGGGTTGTGGGAAAAAAATAGAAGATTGGTTTCTTTTGCGTATTCGTCCGCAAACTGTTATGTTAAGATCCAACAACTTTGATAGCACTACATAAACTTCAGGGGGAGGGAAGGGGCAGGATTTTTAAAGATGGCTAAGCAGCACCGTAAAAAAAGAAATTAATTATTAATAAGAACGCTGAGAATTGGCTCTCGTTCTTTCTACTTCCTTACAAATCTACTCATCGGAGGTCACTGCTCACCCGCTTTTCTATACCTCACCACAACGATGCTGAGCATGAGGGTGATGTTGATGATATGGGGTAAATCTGGCAGAGCTCACCATGTCTGTCTCCTGTTACCCTATGGGAGCGACTATAGGCTGCGGCCTGCAAAACGTAGACACGTTTTCCCAAAGAAAAACGCAAGTATACCTAAACACACAGCCGTGAATCTCCGCGACGTGTTACGAGAGGTCCGTAGCTCTTCATAAACACGCATCGTGGTGAAATAGTCGCCAGAAAAGTGGGGGAAAACTTTGGGGAAAAATACGGACGCGAGACCAATCAGGGCGCAGGCTAAGTCCGAAACCAAAGTCAAGTTTTTCCTTTTTTATATAAAAAGCAACTTCAAATCCAAAATCTGACCTCGAGGTGCGTCCCAATAATGCACGTCTGTGTCACGGGAACTTTGTAGCAGAGTTTTTGTGGATCATAAGGCTGGAGAAAGCGGAGGAAAAAAGCAAAACAAATGCGGCTATCGAAGCAGAGACGCCAGCATGAACGAACTAGTGATCAAACACCAAGAGTCGCACATTTCTCTGAAACAGAGTCACGGATGAGCCGGTGAAGTGCCCACACGAGTCGGAAAACACGCAACATAGCCGATACGTTCATGTATAAAACTGTAACAACAGCGTAAAGAACACGGAGCGCACGAAGCGTTCAAACTTACCAAAACTTGCACTGCTCGGCGCTCGCACCTCGTTTTAACCAGGCGATCTTCTCTTCGAGTCTCTCCTGCGTTTAAGTCCCCCAAGGAAAAAAAAACACAACAGTTTTCGCTTCTCTTTTCCCTCTAAAGCCTTTGCTGCTTTAGTAATTTACTGCGATGCCACCGACATTTTCTTCGGCTCCCCCAAGTTCTCACATTGAAAGGCCGTTTTTGGATGACTGAGCTCTCAAACAATTCTCCCTTTTGCGACGCCTTTTCGGGTCCTCCCACTTCCCAAGCAGGAGGAGGGATCTGAACAATAGGGACTGGCTCCCAAACTCCCAGAGCTGGGTAGGTACTGCACCGCCGTTTGCCCCTACAGAGCGTATGCACAGCGTATGAGGACTTTGCAGAGATTGTGCTTAAAAGTAAAATGTGTAGGGGTGTTTTTAAAATGCAGATGGAGATAACTGTGAATAGAAAATATTTTTAAAAAATGAAGTTTTCTTTAAACTTTGGTGTTCTTTAGGAGGAAAGTGCGCCCCCTCCCCCTCCTCCTGCTCTGTTCCCCCTGATTTGCTATGCCTCGGTCCCCACAGGGTTTGTATTGACCCCCGTCCATTGAGGCCTGTAGGCCCTCCAGTGCAGCTGTGTAAGTGCTGTGCTGTTGTTGTGTTGTTGTGGACGGGACAAGTGTAGTCAGGTCTGTGCAGCACTCACACACACACTCACTCACTCTCATACTACAGTGATCACAGCTCGAACCCCCCCTGTGCTCACTCTGGAATTCTCTTCTTCACTTCAGTCAGCACACTTTGAAACGAGGGGAACCATTCCTGTCCAGTTCATTAATAACTGGGTATTCCCAGATCACAGGGTTTGATAGAGGGGTCTGGTGGTGGGAAGCCTTGCCTCTCTGAATGCAGGAACTCCCACCATGATGTACCTGAGGGGTTGCCGCATCCCTGCAGGCCTTCACTGTCTGACAGCCTGTGGTATTTCATGACACCTGTTGTTCTTGTCCAGGTGAGAGTATGTATGTGTGCACACCCGGTTTGTCTCATTTGGAGATGCTGTGTGTTAAACTTTTATTGGATGCCCAAAAATAAATAAATAAATAAATAATCACAAATCCCAGCAGGATGTTTCAGGTCCAGGATGTCTTCAAGGAGTCATTAATCGTGGGTGTTTTCCAGTGTTGTGCTGCAGTTTGCCAGCACTTTGCAGGTCCTGCCAATGTTTTGCTGTTGTTGCTACTGAGCAAGGCTCTGTTTGTATGCGGTTCCTTCACACTAGCGCCACCCTGCACTACAAGGCAGAGAAGAGAGAGAGAGTAGAAAAAGGGGGGGACTCCCATCGCCTCAAAAACCCCTCCATGTTCTCCCCCCCTCCATCTCTCCATGCTGGGCAGGATGAATTAGCCCAGGGACAAAAGGCTTTGTGGGCTGGCCATGAAAGGCCTATTAACCATACTGCATCCCCCAGAGGCCCTGCCCGCAGGACACCGCCTCCCAGAATGCCACTCTCTCAGCAGGCCGCAATCCCAGCATGCACTGCTTCCCTTCAGCACTAACCCCTGTCACCCCTGAGCCTTGCTGTAGAGCCCCACATAGATTGTCATGTAGATGATAATAAATGCTGTTATGAAAGTAATGGAGGGTGAGAAGCAGAGAAGGGGGCTGTCAGCGGTGGGTGAGCATGCGGTGTGATTTGTGCAGTTTACCCACAAAGACTCTGGGCTGGATGGAGCAAGAGCACCGGGTGAGTTTTGGGTGTCGGCTGTCAGGTGTGAATCCATCCAGTGTCATTACTGAAAGGTGCATTGTTCATTAGCGAGGGGATTTTTCTTTTTCCTCAAGGGTCTCAGCTTTGCAGTGGCTCCTCTTCGCCCTATTCTTTACCCGGGATCCATGACAACGACCTGCTCTCTCCCTCCGTCTCTGTATCCTGCTGACCTTAGCAGCTGTGTCACTTCCTTGGTTTGACAAAACCGGAATGAATCGCACACACTTGTGCTTTGTGGTGCAAAGGTGTACTAAATCAGTGCACTTAATCTCACATTAATGGGGGAAAAAAGCAGAAGAGGACTCACGTCTGCTCTCTTTTTTTCACTCTTAGTGGGTGGTTATCGATTAGCTGTCATCAACAGAACTTTGCTCACGTCAAAAATGGCGATGAGGCTCTCTGCTCTCCTCACCTTTGGTCTCTGTTATAAACCATTAACCTCTCCTCGTTTCTTTCTCAAGATTTCCTCACTGTCTCCTTCTTTTAGAGTTGTGTGTTTGCTAATCCTTTCGATCATGCCAAGTGTGTTTTGTTGTATTACATGTTGTGTTGTTTCATCTCTCTACGCCTGTCTGTCTCTCTATACTTTCCCCTTAGTCCTACCTGTAATACCGGAAAATAAAGCTGACTGTTCCGTTTCTGAAACAACATAAGCGCCATGACACGACCATGGGTGCAAATTGTGGGGGAATCATTAATTTATTCCATGGCGAATTCCTAAGCTTGCTCACTTAAAAACAAACAAACAGTCTCCAGTTTTTATGGTAGTTTCATTTCAATGGCGAGAGACAGAATATCAACTGAAAGTCCAGAAAAAACACATTACATAAAAGTTATGAAACGATGTGAATGTCATTGAGTGTCATTGAGTGAAATAAGTATTTGATCCCCTACAACCAAACCCGAATTCTGGCGCCTATTGGCTTTGTGCCCATGTGGCACACAGATTACTATCAGTCAAGTCAATCAATTACAGATTCTCCTCATTTTAAATCAGTATGTGTATAAAGCTCAAATCAGTTTCTCCCATTCCAACCTCTCCAACACCATAGGCGAAATCAAAGAGCTGTCAAAGGTCGGAAGGTTGGTTGGACTGAGATACAAGACCATCAGCAAGAAGTTTGGAACGTTCCCATTACTCCAACCAGTAAGGCCGATTGCAAGACTCCCTGCCGGAAGTTCCTTCTTAACAAAAACGAGACATTTTTACCTCCAAGTGGGATCATTTGATTATTTGTTTTCTCTTTGTAACAACATAAATTCTTATAAATTCCCATCCCTACTGAATCCAGAGAAGCTTCTGGATCCACTCAGTTTTCTCATATCCAATTTGATGTCTCTTCCAAAAGGTGGGCAAAGCCACACAATTCCATCCATAACTTCTAACAAACCAACCGACACACAGGCTAACCAAACCAATCACACAAATCCACATAAAAACAATCCTTGGCAGACATAGAAAGAGACAAAAACACCAAAAACAAAACAAAACCTAAAATGGGGAATATAATAACATGTGTTCAATAATATTTAATCTGTTTAAGCTTTCCCAAAACGCATCTAAGATCTAATAAAATTCTAGGGTCCATTAAGTCCGTCATGCCTATCCTCAGCTTGGAGAATTAAAGCAGACTGGTGCACTGATAGCGAGTCCATCAAATCTTGATGCAGTTCTCCATGCTGAAAGCGTTTGGCTTGCATTGTTTCGGTCTGGTTTGTTGTTTGTTCCATTTGGCTGAGGGTAAGGCCAACATTATAAATGCAGACCCTGTATTAATTTCAAATGGGCCATTGCACGAGCGCAGCCGAGGTGCTGGTGCAGGGGTGAAACAAAACAAATGCACGATTGTCCGCGCTCCAAACAAACCAGTTTGTACGGCAAGTTGTCCGACCCTGTCTGGAGGCTAAAGGGTTTCTGTGTGAATTGAAAAGCCGCCCTCATAAGGCAAGTCCTCAGGGAGAAGAGAGATGTGATGGGGATAACAGCTCGGGCTTTCAGTCCCACTGCCAAAACATTCAGTGTCTAGCACAGAAACATGCATAGTGGATGAAGTGGGAAGCAAGGATACTAGTGCATTAAATCTGCCATGCAGTGTATTCTTTAGTGTATTCTGCTCAAGTCTGCCAATCAGAATATGAAATGAGAGGCTGGAGAAAACAACGGCGCACAAATGTTGTCTTCATTATTCAAATAATCTTAAAAAAGGGAATCATTTTTACTCGTGCCGCTGTGGGAACTCTCTCGTGTCTATCAGCCAAAGCTTGTTTTTCATTTTACTGCAGTGTAAAAACATGACAGCGAGGCAGACGTATGATGCGGGTTGATGGCATGTCTCTGCTTGCAAATAACCTTTTTGCACCACAGTTTAATCATTCCTCCAGATTCAGCGAGATCACTGTTATTGCACGGTGTAAGATTCAAAGGTTCACCGTTTCATGTCTGTTAAAGAAACGGGGAACAATAACGCGGACCGCAGATTTGTTATCGTGTATGCGGATACTGTATTAAGATATATTTGAAAGTAATCCATTCCTTTTCAGTGAAAACAGCAACGAGCCAGAGCTCAGCGGGAGTTTCGGGGCTCATCCGAGCTTCATAGGACCAACTGGTGTCTGCGTGAGCGCCCTCGGTCATGGTTCATATCGTTACAATAACCCTCACATTCAAACAACAGGTGCTTCTGTGCAGTCCAGTGTCATCATAAAAGGCCTTTCTGTCAATGACACATTATCCCATTACAGTGCCCAAATAAAAGATTTGATGAAGCACGACGGGAGGTAAAGTCAACAGTACAGTGGCAGCAGTTGTACTTTCCGGCATTTTCTTCACATATACGGCTAAAAAGAAACTCATGCGAGCTGAAAAACTGCAGACTGCATGTCAGAGCTGTCTGAGAGGGAGTTTTTTTTCCACAAGTACTTTTTCTAACTTTCATTCCTCTGCTCCTAAATTAAAAAAGAAAAAAAAATCACAGACGGAGCTCATGGGAACATGTCTTCATGGAGAAGTAAATGATGTTATTTTATGACCTTTCAACTGTAACTCTATGCATGTGATTTATTCAAAATCCTGAGGAGGATAAAGTGCACAAATCCTTTATGTAAGAGTCATATTTTGGCAGAGAGCCGGTAATGATATTAATACCACTGTTACATCCGTTAGTCTGCTTTAGTATAAAAAAAGAAATTCTTCCTCCTCCATTCATCTGCAGCCGAAGCAAAGACATTAAAACAGTAAATGTCTCACAAACTTCGACAGGTGTGGTTAGATTTGGTGTATGCGTAAACACATTTGGGGCTAGTTTACATAATGTAAACACCTTCAAAGTGCCCTGTAGCCGCCACAATGTGAGTGAGGAACAGCATGATGAATGTGAACTGAAAACTTTATTTTCACCTGGACGATGAGAAGTCTCAGAGACATAATCAGCCTTAAATAAACCAGCACATAAAATTTCTTCATGTCTCCTCCATCATCACTAACCTCAGTC